GACAGAGGTCCCCACCGGAGCGATGGTGCGATCTTGTTTGGCACCTCCCAAATTGGTCAGACCCTTCTTAAAGAACGCTACATCTGCCGGGCGGAGCGCCCTGTTGGTTGGGTCTTCACCGCCACTTTGGGGTAACAATTCACTGGCCCTCATCATGAAAAACCAACCAGTCAGTAAAGCCCCCTCTATCATGTTTGTGTTACTGGGAGTTTGCGCAGCAGCGCTGCAGCCCTGCGACTGCGGCCCGCAATCTTGGTCGCCCAACCAGTGGGTCCGGGAAACCTGAGGACACGTGTGCGTAACGGATAGCTGACAGACGCTGCCTAATACCCCCAATAGACCTACCCATGACTTGGTGGAGGAAAACCACAAACAGCATTAGACGTTGCTCATCTTCGGCCGTAGCGCCCCGACCCTCCCCGTCGAGAAAAAGATGCCTCTTGGATCCACACTTGAACAACATCCATTGTTTCCAACCGGAAGCATAAACCCACCTGTCGCACGGAATTTGCCAACTTACAGCCATAACAGCCTCGAGGGCTACTTTATCAAGCGTGGAATTCCCCCCATGGATGATATCCCGTAGAGGTTTCCCTTGGTCTTTTGGGCTGCGGCTGGTTGGATACATCGCAATCCAAGCCTTGAGCCAGACCTCCAGTTGCTCATGCGCCTCGGTTTCATCTTGATCCAGCAACGCCGCTTTCACCTTTTCCCCGAGCCCTATAGGGCTCTAAGGAGGGTTTGTGCGCTCTGCCACCCATGCTCGGATACTAGCCTGTCCCTTTGGTCCTCTGGAGCAGAGTCCCAGGCATTCCTCGTACCACCCTGCATTTCCCAAAATTCTTGGGGTAGGACCTAGGAGCGCTCGTACACGGCCTGAGCCATCCTCTAAGAAGGTTCCACCCGGCCCTTTGAGTGGGTCGCCTTTTACCTTCGGTCCACAGGCTACCCCTTTGATGCTATGCACTAAAATGCTTCTGACCATTCTTCCCTTTGACGAGGTGGCCGCACGGTCTCAATAGCCAGGGATCGCCGGTGGTGACGATGTTGGGCTCTCAGATAAACAGGTACCCTTCCCCTTCCAAGGTGTTCTTTTGGTCGAAAGGTGCAAGCGGCAGCATCCAGCACCCATCCACTCCACTGGGAGCGCCCGAAGAAATTGCCCAAATGAGAGGAGGTATAGCGGTGGTGTGTGGTGTGAGGGCACGCACTGAGGAGCTCCCTGAGCTGTTCAGGCCAATCAAGAAGTCCTGAACCTTCTACCATGAGAGTGTTATGGTTGGCGTTCTCCCTGAGTGCCTTCAGGATCCTTAAGGCTTCCTTCGCTGCCACCTGTTTGGAGAGGGTCACGGCCAAGATTTCTGCTGGTTGCACATCCCCGAGCTAGCAGATCCTTCTCTGCCTCTGAACGCGTGGTCTCTTTGGGGTAGCTCGAAGCTACGTGGGTGCGGCTTGGTTTCGGCCAACTGCAGCGCTAGCCTGGCTGAGGGCCCTTCTTCCGCGGGAGTTGCAGTGTCGGGCGGACCGCCCTTCGCCGTGACTCTTCCCAGTCAGCGGAGAGACCGAGGTTCCTCCAACCCTTTCCCTTCCTTGGTGAACCTGCGCCAGCTCTTCCCCCGTGAGCCAATCATTGAGGGTGTTGTGATAGGTTCTGACAAACACCCCGTCCACTGTGAACCGATCTTCGGCTTCTAGCCACTGGAGCAGCAACAAGGAGGTTCTGACGCACTTGTGTTGCCTGATCTTCGGGTGCGCAACCAGCTTTGGACATTGGGGTTGTCTGTCACGTCCAAAACCATCTGGTCTTCCCACTTTTGCTCTTGGTGGTTGGCCATGACCAGAAAAGTAAGGAGTTCCATTGCCGCAATGATGCCGAGGTTATCCCCATCGCCGGCGGCCGATGTTAGAGCTTCCAGGTAGGGTGCTCCTGGTGCGGCATCGTACTTCCAGTCGTCCTCCTCTCAGCCGGTCCATGGTGGCATTTCCTCCAACAAAACGTGTTTTCTGGGCGAAATCCAGTAAAGCAATTTGCCACATGCCACCCTGAGATCCAAGGACTCGTAAGAACCCCCCACTTGCAGCTCAGGGAGGAACTCCCCCACTCCGCGTGCCACCGCTTGGTTTGTCGGCAGCAGCAAGTGCAGAAGGACCGGATTGGTCGGCATATCGAAGTGACAATCATCAAAATGAGGACAGAGAGAAAAACAGCTAGAGTGATCACTGCGCCCCAGCCTACCCAAGGCCAAAAATCTCCACAGGCTAGCACACCTAGCTTGTCCAGGAAGTAGAGCCCCCAACCTCCTGCGGTGCTTAGCTGACCTGGAAGAGCAGGAGTGCTAAACCAGGACTTGGTATCGGCCTTGCCCTCTGAGGTAGAATCAATGCCTGCAGATGATGGACCATCATTCGTTTCTCCCACCCCGGCAGGGCTTGAGGATGGATCACCCAACCACCACAGCCAGTCAGCATCCAAGAAGGTGCTGCCATCATGACGCAAGTCTCTCCTAGCTGGTCTACAATTTTTTTTGCCCAGCACCAGTGAAAACGTTAACCTTCTGTTTCAGCGAGCCCCCAATTTACTATACACTACGAATGCAAGACGCTCCGACCTAAACTTAGGTAGGAAGAATTTGACTCACGGTTGCCCGGTGTCCTTTCTTCCCGTCAGCCTTCATCGCCAGGCTGCTTTAAAAGCTGTACAATGCGATTCCGTGCTGTACATAGCCTGTGAGTGAGCATGCTTTTGCCATACCTGGAGGACTCGAGTGACTTGAGTGTGAGAGTTGGCTTCCATGCTTTTCGCTGACAAGTTCCAGACTCGAAACTTCCAAATCAGCTAACGTTTGCGATGCCGCGTCTCTTTGCCCAGAGCTCGGATGCAAAGCCAGCTGTTTCACCAACATGTTAACTGACGGGAAACTACAGAAACATGCAGGCGCATCAAAAATACTGGAAGGGTCTGGTCGTTTTCAATTTTTACAGATTGCAGAAGACAGCAGTGCAACTTCTAAGTCTCCAATGACTCCTATCTATTCGTCTATTATCTACCTACCTACTGTATCTAGCTGCCTAGCTAACCAACTACTATCAATCTAGCTAAACAACTACTAGCTGCGGTTTCTACATACATGCATGCATACATACATGCATACATACATACGTTACATACACACATACATACATACATACATACATACATACGTACGTACGTACGTACGTACGTACGTACATGCATACATGCATACATGCATACATGCATACATGCGAACATGCATACATGCATACATACATACATTACATTACATTACATTACATTACGTTACATACATTACATACATACATACATTACATTACATTACATTACATTACGTTGCATTACATTACATTACATTACCTACAGACATACATACATACATACATTAAAAACATTAAAAACATTACATACATTACATACATGCATACATCCATACATCCATACATCCATACATGCATACATGCATACATGCATACATGCATACATGCATACATGCATACATGCATACATGCATACATGCATACATGCGTACATGCATACATGCATACATGCATACATGCATACATGCATACATGCATACATGCATACATGCATACATGCATACATGCATACATGCATACATACATACATACATTACATACATTACATACATTACATACATTACATACATTACATTACATTTACATTTACATTACATTTACATTACATTACATTACATACATACATACATACCATACATACATACATACATACATCCATACATGCATGCATACATGCATACATGCATACATGCATACATGCATACATGCAAACATACATACATACAAACATACATACGTACATACGTACATGCATACATACATACATACATACATTACATACATTACATACATACATACATACATACATACGTACGTACATACATACATACATAGATGCATTACATTCATTACATGCATTACATGCATACATACATTACATTACATTTACATTTACATTTACATTTGCATTTACATTTACATGACACTACATTACATTACATACATTACATACATTACATACATTACATACATTGCATACATTACATACATTACAGACATTACGGACATTACAGACATTGCATTCATTACATACATTGCATACACTACTTTCACTACTTACATTACTTACATTACATACATTACATACCTTACATACATTACATACATACATTACATACATTACATACATTACATGCATTACATGCATTTCATACATTACATACATTACATGCATAACACACATTACATACATTACATACGTTACATACGTTACATACATTACATACATCCATATATGCATACATACATACATGCATGCATACATACATACATACAATTCTACTCAAAAAATGTACATATTATGGATGTGTGTGTGTGTTTTTTTTGGGTGTGCGATATATATATATATATATGTATATGTGCAATAAGTGTGTAAATATACACGCAGGTTACAGGTATGATTTGCGCATTTATACAAATGTGTATGGGCATGTATGTGGGTTGGCTGCAGCAACCTTGGTTGTGCAAAACAACTTGCGGCCTGGTTCAGTGTCAAAACAGTGGATTTGAGACACTTATATGTAAATCATTTTCGACGTGGTTCACCGTTGGGCCATCTAGCTGGCAGCTAACGAAGCTGGCCAGGCTTGGGTGAAAGCAAGCTGACGGCTGCGAAAAAATAAATTTCAGAGTTCCAAGGAGTAGGTCACCAAAGGTCCTGTAAAGCCTTATCAGGCCCCATCACTCTTCTCTGAACCCTGAATACTTGTGATCTTTGTGTGACATTCAATTGATTGCAAGTAATGTTGGTAAGAATCTTATTGCGCCCTTGATCAAGTCAGAAATTTTGTCTCTGCTTTTTGCCTTACAACACCTTCACAGGAAGGAGCTTTGGTCGCCCGATTGCAGCAGGAGCAGCCGTTGCCATGGTTGTGGCTGGGCCCAAGGCCAAGGCTTCAGGTCTTTTAGCATCGCTTGAAACACCACAACCTCGTGCCGCTTTTCGTCAACTGTTTCGACAACCCGACATGGTGTAGAGCAAAAATCAACGCTGCTCAGTTCCCCTTTGACACGCGCAACAGAGGCAGCAATTGAGTTTTGCTTAGTCCAGGAGGAGGAGAGTTCTGTCCACGCGGTTGCATTTTCCCCCGACGGCCAGTACATTGTGGTGACTTTGCCGTTCTTGTTTAGTAAGTTTCAGTTTCAGGGTCTTCCTGCTGTACATGGACCACGGTCCGAGCATGCCCAGGTCGGATGCGGCGACAAGAGCGTGAAGGCATGCTTTTCGGCCCGAGAACTGTGTTTCTTGGTCATCTTGGTCCAGGGTTCAAGGGTTCTGTTCCGGGTTTGTACTCGGAGAGAAACAATGCACAACTCCCAGATCCAGAATTTTGAACCCAACTGGCACTGCTGTTACAAACCAAAGAACGCATTGAAATGGGTAGGGCTGTGGCATTTTCGGTACTCTGCAGCAGCTGTATTCATTTGTACTCCTTGGCACGCCTCCTCCGACAGTTAGCAGTTGGCATGTTTAATATTGTTTAACAGGACAAATTGATTGCACGCTCGAATGGTGGCAGCTTTGTGTTTCCTTTTTGGACCCCTTGCGCCTGCTTCCCGGAGGTCTGGAGCCTTACTGAGCAGCTGCAGAGTTTCTCCGGCCATGAGGTCTAGAGCATTTGCATCAATTGATTTTGCTCACCGCGGCGAAACGATGCACACCAAGACAACATTATAAGACCATGCCAGCGCATCGCAGTTTGCATTTCGATTGGCACAAAGGACACTGTGCAGTCGGTTGCAGTCACCGCTGATGGGCGCGCAGTGTCGTGCAGCTGGAGCCAAAGGAAGGATGACTTGCCGCAGCTTGCTTCATGCATGGGCCAACTCCCACCCACAAAACTAAGCAGAATGACACGGGTAGGGTTGGTTTGCAGCATTTCGAAGCGTCCTCAGGCCATGACAAAACGCTTCGCGCCAATGTCCCAGAATTGATATCCGTTTGGATCATGCTGGACCAAGCTTGTGAGTTTGCGAAGACTCAAGTCATAGGACACAGCGATGGTCAAAGGCAGTGTCTAAAAGCAGCTTTCAGCGGACCAAGGTGTGGCGACTACCACGGCACCCTTTTCTTTATGCTCAGGTACGGCGCCATCCAAAAGAATGCAAGGGGCAAAGGGTCTGTAGAAATGTGAAAGTTGTCGGCTCCACTTGCAAGTCAGGCTTTGGTATTCATGTCAGACAGCAGTGTCGAGCAAGCGCTTGCAATTCTTAGACATTCAGCAAATATCTCTCATCTCCACTGAAGGTGCCGTTCGTATCAGCTCCCGTTTACATGTCCGGACTCTGAAGCCAGGAAAAAGTGATTTTACATGCAGATACGCAGTTCTAACTAAAGCATGAAAAATGGACTAGAACGTACTGACTAAAGAGAACTACAGGTACCGCATTGAGCGTCAGAGCAAGACATCGTGTGATCATCGTATGATCGTCGTATGGCCGTCGTGATCGTGATGTTGGTCGATGTGCAAACAGCGAACATAGCGAACCAAGCGAACCAAGGCCACGTCCCGTTGCACGAGCTCCAGGGTCACCACAAGCAATGCTGTCGAGGGACCGCATGGAGGCCCCAGCAGATTCATTGAGATTTCATTGAGATCATTGAGTTTAGAGTGAATCCATGTGAATCCGTAAAGCAGACGCAGAATTGGCAGAGTTTACTGATGTTTCCTTGAAGATCTAAAACAGCCGAACCAAATTTAAGAAACGCGTCGTCGCCATTGAGAAAGAGTTGAAATTGCATCAAGATTCGTTGCCTCATCTTCCACTTCTCAGGAATTTCACGAGCGCCTGAAAAACGCAGAAGCGATGAATAAGCAGATGAGGGAGCAGCTCGAAGAGGAACACTCCGACGAGGTGAGTTTGCAAGGTTAGTGAATAAGAACATTTGAGGTATTCGATGTATTGGGATTTCAAAATGTCGAAACGATAGATCAGATACTCAATTACGAAACAATACGACCTTAACTTGATTACAAAGGTTTCGTTTTGTTTCTCGACAGCCCCCATTCATTCTCATGCGCTCTCTCTCACTCTCACTCACTCTCTCTCTCTCCCTCTCTCTCTCTCTCTCACGCTTGGATGAAGACATGCTTCGGCTCTTGTCCACATGCTTAGTTAGAGCCCTTTGCTTGTTTTCTTCGTTCGGCCAGAGGTTGTTGAGAGGCTGGAACCAGGTAGATGGCTCAGAGGACAAACATGACAAGGAATCAACTCATTCAACCCGGAAGCTAGCGATTAACTGGCGGAATTGCCAAGGCGAGGATGATGTAGATGGCAGTTGCATTGAGGTCCGCTCTTCCGTTGCTTTTGCCAGCTTAGGGTAATTTCATTGGCCGTATTTGCGTTGTTTTTGCCACATGCTTCACGCCGATCTGGTTTGACTTTGCAATGGTTTTGCGCATTTTCATCATGCCCGCATGATGAGTATATAATATAGCATTCTATATCGACATACAGCGGATGATGATACCTTTCAGACACTACACTCTCAATAAGACCAGGAACCAGCAGCAAAAGTGCCCGAGACACCACCGAAACTGCAGCTACCCAAGTCACCGGCAGGACAACAATGCTTCACAGGGGAAATTGGAATGTAGTGAAGCAGCAAACTATGAAACCATGCGAAAGCTGCAAAGTTGTGCCGTTTAGTGCAGGATCAGCCAATGCAGACAGGCAAGTTTTCTTTTGCTGTCCACATATGTCCCGACATGTCCCGACTGCGTTGCTTGACAGACCTTGGCAGGCTTTCTGTGCCAAGCCAATGCTGGAGCTTCTTGGCTAAGCGGGTCTCGAATTAATCTTTTTCACAGCTCGATTAATTTCAACATTGAAGCGAACTTTGCGCAAATGCCTTGTCTCAGTTTTGTCTCTCTCCAAGGGCAACAACCGCTGATAGCTTACATCATCTTCCATCTTACACTGCGAAACAGGTTGTTCCGCTGCATTGCGAACCTTGCGCTTGACGGAGTTGTCAGATGTTCCCACAACGAAATTTAGTCATTATACCCACGCGAAGTGCGGAAGAGAACTTGCCAGGTCAGCTGGTTGCCAACTGATTCGGGTACCCTTACAACCCCCTGACGGTGTTTTGTGAATGCGCTTGAGACAGCCGGGATACAAGCACTTGCAAACCCCAACTTTCAACAAGAGCAAGTTTGTGCGCAGATTTCTCAACCTCGTCCACGGCGATCCTTACAGCAACAGAACGTTGCTCCAACAGTCTACTACAGGCATTTGATCTGCCTATTTGTCACCGAGATCCTTTTTTTTCCCGAGAGCGTCTGAGCGCAGGGTTCTTCCAATGGTGGGGGTCTGTAAAACATCTTCTCATCCTCACATCTTCTCATCCTCACATCTTCTCATCTTCGCATCTTCTCATCTTCACATCTGCTTATCTTCACATCTTCACATCTGCTCATCTTCACATCTTCTTCACATCTGCTCATCTTCACATCTTCTCTTGCTCACATCTTCACATCTTCTCTTGCTCACATCTTCACATCTTCACATCTTCTCATCTTCGCATCTTCTCATCCTCACATCTGCTCATCTTCACACCTTCACATCTTCACATCTGCTCATCTTCACATCTTCTCATGCTCACATCTTCACATCTTCACATCCTCACATCTTCACATCTGCTCATCTTCACATCTGCTCATCTCCACATCCTCACATCTTCACATCTTCTCCTCTTGCCCTCTTGCCCTCTTGCCCTCTCCTTCTTTTCTATTTCTCTTTTGAAGGCGGGGGGCAGGGGCAGTGCCAACGAGACGGCACGAAACGCAACCTTTTCGCACGAAATGATGTTCGATCACCAAAAACTGAAGTAAAATTGCGATTTCAACTTGTCCCGCGCAACTCTTTCGCACGAAATGAGGCAAAAACTGAGGTAAAATTGCAAGTCGTCCCGCGAACCCTTTCGCACGAAATGAGGTTCGATCGCCAAAAACTGAAGTAAAATTACGATTTCCGGGTTCCCGTCGCAACCCTTTTTGCACGAAATGAGGTTCGAGCGCCAAAAACTGAGGTAAAATTGCGATTTGCAAGTCGTCCGCGAACACTTTCGCACGAAATGAGGTTCGATCGCCAAAACCTGACGTAAAATTGCGACTTCCGGTTCCCGTCGCAACCCTTTCGCACGAAATGAGGTCCGAGCGCCAAAAACTGAGGTAAAATTACAATTTGCAAGCCGTCCCGCGAACCCTTTCGCACGAAATGAGGTGCGATTGCCCAAAACTGAGGTAAAATTGCGATTTCTAAGTTGTCCGGGCGTCTGTGTGTAAAAGCTTCTGTGTGTAACAGCTTCTGTGTGTAAAAGTCTCTGTGTGTAAAAGCGTCTGTGTGTAAAAGTCTCTGTGTGTAAAAGTGTTTGCTTGTAAAAGCATCTGTGTGCAAAAGCGTCTGTGTGTAAAAGCGTCTGTGTGTAAAAGCCTCTGTGTGAAAAAAGCTTGTGTGTAAAAGTGTCTGTGTGTAAAAGCGCCTGTGTGTAAAAGTGTCTGTGTGTAAAACTGTCTGTGTGTAAAAGCGTCTGTGTGTAAAAGCCTCTGTGTGAAAAAAGCTTGTGTGTAAAAACGTTTGTGTGTAAAAGCCTCTGTGTGTAAAAGCCTCAGTGGGAAAAAGCCTCAGTGTGTAAAAGCGTCTGTGTGTAAAAGTCTCTGTGTGTAAAAGCGTCTGTGTGTAAAAGCGTCTGTGTGTAAAAGCGTCTGTGTGCAAAAGCGTCTGTGTGTAAAAACGTCTGTGTGTAAAAACGTCTGTGTGTAAAAGTCTTTTTTGAATTCAATTTTTCTTATTTGAAAAAAAAAATCAAATAAGGGAATCCTCCTATCTTCTCCCAGCCTTTTTGAAATTTTAAAATTTTCTTATTTGAAAAAAAATACGTTTAAGGGAATCTACAATCCTATCTTCTCCTAGCCTTTTTTGAATTTTCAAATTTTCTTATTTGAGAAAAAAAACGTTTAAGAGATTCATATTAAACCATAGTCTGAAAAAAATATTTTAAAAAAATAAGGGAATCCATAATCCTATCTTCTCCCAGCCTTTTTTGAATTCTAAAATTTTCTTGGGTAAAAAAAATCGTTTAAGGGAATCCATAATCCTATCTTCCCCCAGCCTTTCTGATTTTTTTAACATTTTCCTATTTGAAAACAAAAGTTTAAGGGAATCCATAATCCTATCTTGTCCTAGCCTTTTTTGAATTTTGAAATTTTCTTGTTTGAGAAAAAACCGTTTAAGAGATTATAAAATCCTAGTTTTTTTCAAAGTTCTTATTTGAAAAAAACAATCAAATAAGGGCATAATAAGGGAATCCATAATCCTATCTTCTCCTAGCCTTTTTTGAAGTTTCAAATTTGCTTATTTGAGAGAAAATCGTTTAAGAGATTCATTAAAAAAACTAGTTTGTTTTTTTAATTTTCGAATTTCTTACTTGAAAAAACAAATAAGGGAATCTATAACCCTATCTTCTCCCAACCTTTTTTGAATTTTAAAATTTTCTTATTTGAAAGCAAAATCGTTTAAGGGAATCCATAATCCTATCTTTTCCCAGCCAGGATGTTGGCACAGGACACGCATGCACCAAGAACAGCGCACGGCGCACAGTGGGAAAAAAAAGGCCAGCAGCATCAATTTGGAAAAACTGGGTTCCATGTGTTTTTTTTCTGTTTTGGAACTTGCGCAATAATAAAACACAAGGGCAAACTTATACCGCAAGCAAAACAGCTACCTGTGAAAATTGACACCTTGGAAGCTTCAAAAGCCTGTTTCAAGGCCGTGTCTTTCATTGTGAGGACAAAGATTCCTCTTCACTTCGAATTTATTGCCCCAAAAAAATGGCAAAACAATTCTGAGCAAGTGTGTGTGTGTGTATGTGCGTGTCTTCAGCAGTGCCTGCCCGTGTGTGTGTGTGTGCGTGTGCATGTGTCTCCCCATGCTACCCAATGTCTCCGTCTTGAAGTGTTGGGTCAGGTTCCAAGCATGAGGCTTCATTCTTGTGCCACCATCTCATCCTTGTGTTGGGGTTGTCAACCCATGTGTCGGTGGTGCAGTGAAGAATAACAATGTCCATGTGTACGTTTATCTTGACATTTTTTCAAGAGCTGCGCCTTTCCTGGTTTTTCTGCACGTGGCCAAGTCAAGGATGTTTCCCCTGCAGAATGCAAGGTATCTTGCCAACAACTATGGCAGGCTTGGTTGAAGGGATTTTCTTTGCAGCATAGGTCTTCAATGGAAAGCGCAAGAGGATGCGCGCTTCTGCACTTCCTTGGCATTCTTCCTGTGTGCCTAATGTGCCATTTTTTGTCAGAAACTTGCCTTGCTGTGGTGGGAGGCACGAGTGCAGCTAGTGTTTCCAACCTGTTGGGCCCTAAGAGCGCGATTCTTCAAAACAGGAAAACAGAGAGCATTCTGTCCTCGCACCTGCTCTTTAAAAGCCGACAAGAATGGTTTTGATGTCCGGTTTTGTTCGGCAAACTTTCACAAGGAGCTCCGCACCAAGGCCAATTCCACACTTGAGTTGCCCAGCTGGTTCAAACGTGAAGGCACAGCAGATCTGCCTATTTTCAGACTGAGTTGAGCCGGAAAGCGGACTAAGTTGCTCAGTCTAAAAAGATAAGCTGTTACAGTTTGCAAAGACCCGCGCCATGCAATGGCAATAGTTGTAGCTGTGGTGGTGGTGGTAACGGGCATGGGATTGTAGCGCAAGTCTTTTCATGGTGCTTGTCCTGTTTGGCGTGCTTGTTCTCGCCCTTCGCCCGGGCTTGTGTCGTGACAGCAGGGGCAGTGTAGCAAAGTCTAGCTATTGATGCTGTTGCTGAAGTGCTGTGCGCGCGTCCTTGCTTGCCTCACCACCTTTC